AACCGGCGGAGGCTGGTAGTGCTGACGGCTTGAATACCGTTGTACCGCTGGCTGCAGATGTCTGCTGCTGTTCTTGTTGCTGCTGATGTTGGTGCACGTGGTGGGATTGCTGATGCTGGTGTTGCTGATGGTGTTGTTGGTGGTGGTGATGGTGATGATGAGGCGGCGGCGATACGCTTCCCGGATTCAGCGGCGATCCGGCAGCCGAACTGCACGCCTCGCTCTCGTCGTGCGCCACCGACGAACCTTCACTCCTGGCCGGCGATCGTGAACCCGCGCCCACGATRGACTCTATGGAGAATCCGATTTTTGGTTTAACGATCATCGGCGTCGCGGCCACTTGTATCATTTTAAYGAATGTGGAAACAATCGATCGTAACGATATATGATACGATATTATTAGGTAGGTAACAATATACTATGTATGGGTGCTTAACACGAAATTTTCATTTAAAAAGAAAAATCTTAAGATGMAAAAATAGAAATATGATCATTCGCGCTCCAACGACGTTCCAAGCACCGCGGGTGTCCGCTGCATTCGAGCGGGTCGTTTCGTTTACACGCACTGCACTTCGAACACGCTCGCACGCACACAGTAATACTGCGTGAAAAAAATAATAACAGTACAGACAGTACGATTGAAATAGCGAAAATAGCGACGACGGTACGCGTATGCAACGTGCGAACGACGACGGTAGACTGCTGCTGGTAGAGGTCCGGGCCAGTGCGCGGTCGGCAGCGGTGCCGGTGGTGGCTTTGGTTGGTGGGGTGAACGGGACGGGCGAGCGGGGACCGACGGAGAAGAAAGAGCGGCTCGCGCGGTGGGCGTGACCGACGGCGACCGCGGTTGGGCGGCGAGACGGGCCCGGGAAACAAGGCGGCCCATTGGCCGGCCGTTCACGGCCCGCCGGCGCGCGCCGTGTTTACTTTTGGACCGTCGCCGTCGTTAACGCCATAACAAACATGTGTATTTAAGGTGTTAACCGTATACCATACACTGCAGCTCAATGGAATAATATGTAAAACTGGTTTCAATTATTGCGTTAACGTACCCGTATACACATTTACCTATATATATTATATATAATATAGATGTGTAATATACGCGCCACCGTACCTGCACTGTCTGCACTTCACGTCTGCACCGCCGCCATGTCACGCTCGCCCTCTTGACGTAATATTATAATATGCGCCTTCCCCTCACGAGTTCACCGTATTATATGCAAATAATCGCACGCATAATGTGCACATGATTATAGGTACATAATGGTTATACAAAATCTTCGGGTAGTGAT